GGAACGGGGTCCCCAAGCCCCGCTCCAGCCTGGGGGGTCAGATAGGAGAATGAGAGTTGGGGGGGGTCCCCAGCAACGGTGCCTCGGCAGGCTGGGCCAGGTGATAACCAAGGAGGGGGATGGTGGGGGGGGAAAATTATCCCTTATAACCCCCCCCCAAAGAAAGGTGCTATAATCCCTAATCACTCTGGCTATGGGGGGGGGTGAATTCCCACCCCCTCCTACTCCAGAGCCCCCCATGTATATGAGCGGGCCCCACAGGTGGGGGCATTGGCTGCCCAGGAGATGTTGGCCGGGGGGGGGGGGCAGGGGAACAGGGACACACTGTGTCCAGCCCTCAAGTGGGTCCTAAAGCAACCGTGTGCTCATGTAATAATAAAGACTGTACAGCACATATCACTCCCCCGGTGTGGTGTCTCATTGTGGGGGGGGGGGTTGTCTACATAGTCAGCCCTCCCCTGCTGCATTATCTGGGGTCGATTGTTCCCCCCGCACCTGTAGCAGCATCGTGTTCCCCCCCACAACCCTCCTCCCTGCATGATCGGGGGGGGGCATCCCAAACATGCCCCCACCACCATCTGCTGCACTGACTGGATGGGGCTCAGCCTGCTTGCCCTGTGCCCCCCATAACACAGAATGGGGGCACTAACTGGAAGATTGAATTGGGGTGGGGGTCAGCACCTACAGCCACACCCCACTTGAGATGACACCCCCCAACTGCACCCCCCACATGGGCCTCCAGTTTTTCAGGTGCTTCACCCCCCAGGGCATTCGGCTCCTCCCTGTACTTGGACAGTGGGAGGGTGTCGTGGTTTGGTGATCGGGCGGGGGAACCCATCAGCCTGGCTGGGTGAAATCGAGGGACACCCCCCCCCCCCCATAAACAGCATTAATCACTATTGCAGGTGCAAGTTCTGAGCCCCCCCCCTCGCCTCCCAGATCAGACCCTCTCCCCCAGCTGCCACGTGCCACCTGGATCGCATGCCCCATTGACTCCTGGTTCTGCTCCGGCCCCACGCCAGGCCTCCTGCGCAGCCCTGGCCCTGATCCAGCTGCCCACGGGGCCGGGCGTTGCCAGTTCTGTACGGGCTGGTGTGACCAGCTGCGTTCACGTGAGGCTGGGCTCACACGGGCCAGGCCGGAGGAAACAGGCCAAAGGTGTCATGGCGGCGTCACCCCCACCCACCCATGGGGCAGCGGCCGTGGGGTTCTGATCCGCCACCCAGCCCAGCGTGGGGGTTCTGGTTCAGCCCATTTAAGGCCTGAGGGTCTGGATCCAGCTGTAGGCCCCCCAACACCATCTGTCATCCCAACATCCCAAATCCCCCCCCAACTGAAACCCCCCCCATACACACTCCCTTGCTGCCCCAAACTCCCCTTCCTGAGAACCACCACCCCCCAGCTGAGCTGGCCCAAAGAGGATCCCCAGCCTCCTTGGCACCAGTGGGAACCCCCCCCCCGCAACAAGCTCCGCTGTGGGGCTGCCCCAGACCTTGTGCCCCTTTCCAGGTCAGGGTGGGCGCTGCTCCGGGGTGGCTGGCGGGCTTCTGTGTCACCTATCCCTTGGCGAGGGCCTTCTGGCACAAACCCTGCAGCCTCCTCCACTGGCTCCGCCCGCCCCAGGATGAACCTGCCATGGGGCAGAGGGGCTAGGACTGGGCATTTGTGTGGCCCATGAACCAGTGTCTCCCTCCAATGCCTGGGGGGGCAGTGGGGCAGGCATCCAGGCCATTGTCTCCCTGAGCCCTGGGGGCTCCCCCAATCTATCCCCCACCCCCACTCTGACCACTAACCCCCACTCCCCTCCCAGAGCCTGGACTAGATACCAGGAGTCCTGACTCCCAGCCTATCCCCCCCACCACACACATATGCTCCAACCACTAGACACTCCTGTCCTCTCCCAGCTCATAGAATATCTGTGGGGTGGTCGGTTGGGGGCACATTTCCCTCTTCAGCCTCAGCCCAGAGGTGGCATCTCTGTTCCCACCCTAGTGCTGAGGACTCCCCCCACTCCCAGGGCTGTGTCCATCCTTCTCTGAGCCCAGGACCTGAGGGGCCAAGGTTAAACAGAGCAGGGCCAGGACTCCTGGGTTCTATCCCCAGGTCTGGGAAGGCAGTGGAGACTAGCCGTTAGAGGAGAGAGACAGGGGTGGGGTGGGAGGCAGGACTCCTGGGTTCCAGCCCAGCTTGTGGAGGGGAGTGGGATCCCATGAGCCCAGTGCCCCCTCCCCCGCATGCATCCCCCCTGCCCCATCAATGGCTAGGAGCTCAGAACCAACAGCCCCAGCAGCTGGGGAGGCCACGAGGGGACCCTCCCAGGGTGCATTGGGGCACCAGAGCGGGATTATGGTAGCGCCCCCGCATCCACCCTGCAGCATCACAGGGGGGCCCCTGCCCGCTATAGCATCCCATGGGCCCCCAGCTCCCCACAGTGGCATAGGGGATCCCTGCTCTGCACCCCACAATCACAATCCCACTATTGCATCCTATGGGACCCTGGTGCCCCATCTCCCACCGCAGCATTACGGGTCCCTCCCCCCTCTCCCCCCAGCGGTCCCAGCCCTGTAGCATTGCTTGGGCTCCCCCCACCCATTCCCAGCCTCCCCAGCCCCCTGCCCCCGGCTGTCACAGGCTCTCCCCATCACTGATCCCCGCCCCACCCGTCTCTCCACCCCGCACCGATGAGCCCCCCACCATGAAACCTCCCTCCCAGTGGCTAGGATGCGAAGGGACTGCCATGGCAACAGGACGGGCACTGGTGGTGCCAAGCTGGAGCCCAGCCGCCGGGGCTTGGGGGAGCTCATGACCTACTTTCTCTGGTGCTTTCTTCCGGCCCACGTTAATCGGGGATTATCCTGCCCTGACTGTGGGGGGGACGGGACTCGGCTTTTCCAGGGCAGGAGCAATGTGGGGACACAGGCAGCTCTGAGCCTGTCTTGTGTTCTTGGGGTTGGACGGGGGGTGTCTAGGAGCAGGACTCCTGGGTTCTATCCCCAGCTCTGGGAGGGGAGCACTTATCTCCTGGATCCCTTGGGCTGCCCCCCTGCCCCTCACCCAAGTTCTTATGTGTGTGGGGCTGGGCCACAGCCTCTGCCCCAGGCCTAGCCAGGAAGCTGGATTAGGCCCTGGCCTGGCCCTCTCCCTTAGACCCAGTCCAGTGGGATTGGGGTTCCCCCCCCCCAGGTTCCTAGCTGACCTCCCGGAGTGAGCAGGATTTGGGGTGCAATGTCCCTGTAAGGGGGGGGGGTCCCCAGGGCTGTATCCACCCCCAGCACACCCACCTCCTCCAAGAGCTGGAGAGGGGGTATGGGTGCTGTGTGTCATGTGTGGGAGGTTGGTTGTGTTACATTGTGCGCACTGCATGCATATGTGTGTGTGTGTGTGTATGCATCTGCGTGTTTTTTCACATGAATGTGTTTCATGGGTATTGTTTTTGTCTGTGCTGTGTGTTTGGTTGAATTTGTGTGTGTGTCTACATGTATTATTTTCATGAGCATGTGTGTTTTTTGCAGTGATTTATTTTGTCTGTGGTGTGTGTGTCTGTATTTTACATAAAGTGTGTCGTTTTGTGTGTGTGTGTGTTGTGCCTTTGTGTTGTGTATTTGTGAGCATGGTGTTTGGTGCTTTTGTGTGTTGTTTTGTGTGTGTGTACACGGTGTTTTGTCTCTGTGCTGTTTTACGTAGGGGATCGTTGGATCTGTGAGTTTTGTTATCTGTATTTTGTGTTTCTGTGGGAGACGTTGTGTACGTTGTGTGGAACGTACCGCGCCATCTATCCCCAGGCCCTCACCACCCCTCCTTCCCCTGGAGAACTGGGATGCTCCCTTGACCCACACAGGCACTCACCCCCCACCCCAACCCCTGTGGCTTGCACCGGACGCTCCCTCCCCCGCGCTGTCAATTATGGCTGCTGATGTGGGTGCCCTCTGGGTGCTGGTGCTGCCCTACTTTAGCTGCCTGACCTACTAATGCTGAGATGCCAGCCAGGCCCCGTGCTGGCCCAAATAGTAACCACAGTACCAGGGGAGCAGCAGCAGGGAGAGATGCCCCCGTACCTGCCCCCACCCACGCACCACACATTGCCCCTGCCAGCACCCCTCCTCCCCCGCCTGCTGAGGCTGCCATGGGGAGACTCCTGGCTCTGGGAGGGGAGCGGGGTCTAGTGGTTAGAGCAGAAGGGGAGCTGGGAGCCAGGACTCCTGGGTTCTACTTCCTGAGCCAAGGATAGAACCCAGGAGTCCTGGCTCTTTGGGCTGCACTCAGACTATTAGGCAGCACTGCTGTGCTTCCTCCCATGTCTCCTGGTTACACCCTTCTCGCTGCGGTGGGTGTCTGAGTCCCAGGGCACAGCTCCACGCTGTCCCCTGGGTACTGGGGGGGGTATTGGGGTATACCCCAAGGTACAGTTGCTCTAACACCCCCCCATCACCAGGGGTTCAGGCCACAGAGCCCCTCGATTCTTAACATGGGGCCCCCTTATCTGAAGCCTCAAAAGGGGATGGGGAGCAAAAACCAGACCCAGACCCCCTCTTCTGAAAATAGGGGGAGGCATGGTGTCCGAGACGCACCTCGTATGGACCAGCCACCACCTGCAAGCACAGCGCCCCCTCCTGGCTCCACCCCAACCCCTCCAGCAGCCAAGGGGGTGCAGCTTGTACCATTCCTCCCCTATGTAACCATCCATCCATGCCCCCACATACCCATCCATCCATCCATCCCCATACACTTTCCTCTCTGTCGATCCCCATGCACCCCTGCAATCTATCTATCCATCCAATGCCGTACACACCTACCTATCCATCCATCCACATACACCCCTCTATCTATCCATCCCGTACAGCCTATCGCCACACTCCCCTCTATCTATCCATCCATCCCCACGCACCCCCTCTGTCTATCTATTTTCCTCCCTCCGTACACATCCATCCATCCATTCAACCTTCTTCCCTTCTCTCATTCCACACCCTCCCCCCACAGTGGCTCCACAGCACTTCGGAAAATCTTTTTGGGACATTTATTTGGATTTTTTTTTTTAAAAGATACAGTTTTATTTTCATCAAATGTTTCCCGACTCAGAAAATCCCCCACCCCCACCTCCCCCGAATCCCACTGGCTTCAAGAGAGCTGGCTGGCGGCGTTGCTGGTGAGACAGTCCCAGGACGAGGGAGGCTGCTGGTCCCAGGCCCTGGCTGCACCCCGCTGTCACCATCCTGGGGGCTCCAAAGCCAAGGGGGTGGGGGGGATGAGGAGATCCCGCTTGGTCCTCCCCCTGCAAGGCCAGCCCCACCCAGCACATGGGGCTCAGACCTCAGCTTGGTGGGAACCGTCTGACAGCTCCCAAATCTGTGAGCTCAGCCAAGTGGAACCTGCTGCTCTCCAGATCCCCAGGCCTAGCAGGACAGGGATTTCGCTTCTCACCAGATCCCAGCCGGGCAGATCCCCGGGCCCAGCAGAACAGGGATCTCTCTGCTCACTGGATCCCAGCCGGGCAGATCCCCGGGCCCAGCAGAACAGGGATCTCTCTGCTCACCGGATCCCAGCCAGGCAGATCCCCGGGCCCAGCAGAACAGGGATCTCTCTGCTCACCGGATCCCAGCCGGGCAGATCTCCAGGCCCAGCAGGACAGTCAGTGTTGGCTTTGTCCACGTCACCTGCCCAGGCAGTCGCTGTTCAAGGGCTGTGCCCCGCTAGAGGGCACCGTCATATGGGCCTGGCACCCTCATTGTGGCAACTGCCCCTCCACCCGCCGGCAAAGTCCCCGGGCTCCAGCCTGTTTGAGGGGGGCAGGGGGCTGCAGTAGAGGAGTCTGTCCAGGGCGCCGGCGGCGGGGGGGTGCCCGTTGAGGAGCAGTGCCTGCCGCACCAGGGCCGCCATCTCCTCGTGCCTCTCGCTCTCCCAGTCGGCTGGCGCCTCCTGCTGGCAGCCGGTGGCGCCAGGCTCAGGGCCCAGGTCCTGGCCACCGCTGCTGTGGGCCCGGCACTTGAGGCGCAGCTTGTGGGGCAGAGCAGCCAGCTTGACGTCCGGGGCGGGCGGGTAGGGGGCGGGAGGGCACCCCCAGCCGGGCTCCTCCCCACTCTCCTCGCTGGAGTAACCTGCGAAGGGGGAACTCAGCTCGACCACCATCTCCGTGGGCTCCGGCCTGGCCTCCCGCGCCGCCTCCTCCCCAAGGAAGCCAGCAGGGGCGCCGTAGCCCTCAGCCCGTGGGCAGCCATACGGCTCGGGGGGGCCCTGCAGCTCCCCCTGCTGGCAATAGGCCTCACAGTCGCCATGGCGACCCCCGGGTATCTGCTGGGCATAGCTCCCCAGGGCCTTCTCCTCTTCTTCCTCCTCCTCTGCCCCGTCCCCCTGCTCTGGCACCCCCCAGGCTCGGGGCGGCTCCACCGCGGTGAAGCCGTTGGCGCTGAAGAGGATGACGCCCCGGGAGGCCGGGGCCTGGGGGTCGGGGGGGCGCAGCGCCCCGTCATCCCCCCGGGCCCGGCTCACGGCCTGCGCCTCCCCCGGCGTCCGCGGCAGCGGGCTGTCCCGGGAGGAGCCGTCGGACATGTCGGAGAGGGAGCCCCGCGGCGAGTATTTGGCTCCGGCGGCGTCCCGGCCGGGCTGCTCCGTCTCGGACGAGTCCTCCGAGTGCTGGGCCCGGGAGGAGGCGCTGGAGTAGCCGCTGCTGCCCCCGCAGCGCTCCCGGCTGGCGGCGCGGAGCTGCTGGCTCTTCTCCGCGAAGGCGGCGGTGCTGAGGAGCCCGAAGCGTAGCTTGAGCTGCAGCAGCTCCGTCTTGAGGCGCAGGTTCTCCTCGTTGAGCGCCAGCACCCGGCTCTCCAGCACCAGGTCGTTGACGCGCCGCTTCTCCCGCGAGCGCTTGGCCGCCTCGTTGTTCTTCCGCCGCTTCTCCCAGTAGCTGGCGTCCTTCTTCTCGTCCGAGATGAACTCCCGCTTGCGCCGGCAGCTGGCGCTGGCTTTGCCCTTCAGCGCCCGAGCCCGGGGCATCGCGCCCTCCGGGGGGACGCCCCCTGCCACGCACTGGGCAGGCGAGCGGAGACCCTCCATCGCAGGGCCAGAAATAGAACCCAGGGCACCCCTGCCCTGACCCTCGACACTCCTTCGGCGCCCTCAGAGAGCCCAGGACGGTCGCCGGCGAAGGGTCGGGACGCTGAGGTTAGAGATGGCTCAAGAACTCACCCGTGGGTCTCCGCCAGCGGGATAGGGGTCCACAGATCTCTGTCACCGGGACACTGCGCCCTGGATCTCTGCCACGGGGATAACACACCCCAGATCTCTGCCACGGGGATATAGGTCCACAGACGTCTGCCACCAGGACACTGTACTCTCTGCCACGGGGTTAACACACCCCAGATCTCTGCCACGGGGATATAGGTCCACAGATGTCTGCCACCAGGACACTGCACTCTTTGCCACGGGGTTAACACACCCCAGATCTCTGCCACAGGGATATGGGTCCACAGACATCTGCCACCGGGACACTGCGCCCTGGATCTCTGCCACGGGGATAACACGCCTCAGATCTCTGCCACGGGGATATGGGTCCACAGACGTCTGCCACTGGGACACTGCACCCTAGATCTCTGCCACGGGGATAACACGCCTCAGTTCTCTGCCACGGGGATATAGGTCCACAGACGTCTACCACTGGGACACTGCACTCTCTGCCACGGGGTTAACACACCCCAGATCTCTGCCACAGGGATATAGGTCCACAGATGTCTGCCACAGGGACACTGCACCCTGGATCTCTTTGCCACTGGGATATGGGTCCACAGACGTCTGCCACCAGGACACTGCGCCCTGGATCTCTGCTACGGGGATAACGTGTCCCAGATCTCTGCCACGGGGATATAGGTCCACAGACGTCTGCCACCAGGACACTGCACCCTGAATCTCTGCCACAGGGAAAACGCGCTCCAGATCTCTGCCACTGGAACAGACGATTCTCGCTAGCTCCTCAGCCCAAGCAGTTAACAAGCCCGGTGGCCAGGCAAGCTGCTGCCGTGAGTGGCCCTCCAGCTGCGACCGACAAGCCACGATGGGCACCTTCGGGTGCCAGCAGGTACATTGGGGACCTGTGGACCATCTTCTGGGCGCCTGGAGGAGCCGCTGTTGGGGGCGGTTCAGGCTCGGCTGGGTCCCTTCCGTGCCTGCTGGCCGCGCTGGGAAGGGGCTGGCCCCCGGCCAGGAGCTCTGGCCCCCGCGTCCTGCTCCGGGAGGCTGGCTGCGGAGACGCGGCTGGGCTGCGGGTGTTGTGGGATGTGAGGCGGGCAGGGGGCGGGAGCCGTGTCAGGTCCGGGAGGAGGAGGAGGAGGGAACACCTAGGAGGAAGGACACGGAGGGCGGTTGGAGCACGGCCCAGCACGTCACACCCCTCTCCGCCGCTTACATAAGCCACAGGCGAGCAGGTCTGGGCAGGGCGGGAGAGGCCTCTGGGCCCAGCGGGCAGCGTGCCCCACATTCCGCCCCGCTACGGCGACGCGTGTGCCATGGCCTGCCGGGTGCCAGGGCTGCCCCAGCTACACACCGCGCACCAGGCATACACACACACCACACACCGTACACACACAGACACACACACAGACACAGAGACACACCACACACCAGGCATACACACACACCACACACCGTACACACACAGACACACACACAGACACAGAGACACACCACACACCAGGCATACACACACACCACACAGCTACAGACACACACACACACCGTGCACACACACACACACACACACACAGACACACCACACACCACACAGCTACAGACACCACACACCGTACACACACAAACACACACACACACACACAGACACACCACACACCAGGCATTCACACACACCACACAGCTACAGACACCACACACACCGTACACACACACACACACAGAGACACACCACACACCAGGCATACACACACACCAACAGCTACAGACACCACACACACCACACACACAGACACACACCAGACAGCTACACACTGCGCATACACACTACACGGCTACACACTGCACCAGCAGTCACCACACACACCACAATTACACCGCGCACCACGCGCGCACACACACACACACTACACAACACACACACCACAATACAGCTACACACCATGCACACACACACTACACACCACACACCAACATATCATTTGCACACACACACTACACACCACACAGCTACACACTGTGCAGACACTGCACACCACACAGCTGCACCCTGCACACCGCACACACACGCACACAAACACACACTATACATGGTGCACACACAGTGCACATTGCACACACACACACTGCACACCGCACCAGTACAAACTGCACACCACACAGCTACACACATCGCACTGCACGCACACACACTACATATGCACACACCCGGCACCCAGCTACACACCATGCACACACGACAGTGCCCACAGCTACACACTGCGCACCACACGTGCACTTACCGGCACGCACACACTGCCCACTGGGTGAACACACCGCATGCACGCCACACACTGCCCACAGATGCCCACTGTATAATGCCTGCCACACATTGCCAACAACTATACAACACGCACGCCACACCACACACCGCAAACACATCACACACAGCACACTGTACATGCTGCACCCCGCACACACTGCACACCGATCACACACTGCACCCCACACAGACACTGCACAACACACAACACGGTGCACTGCACTGAACACGGTGTACATCACACACCTGACACTATACTGCACAGACACACGCATGCACACACTACACAATTACACATTGCACCCCACATACACCTGACACAAACACTGCCCAACACCCACACTGTACCATACACATGGCACACATTACACAACTGCACCACACACCCACACTGCACACTTACCATTACACACCCCACAGAGACACCACACACACACACGGCCCAACACACATTGCACACCGTGTACGCATCACACACTGCACAAGGATACAATTACACCTTGCCCCCCACACAGACATCACACACTGCCCAACACACATCATACAGCTAACACCACACTACACACCACCCATCAGACACGGCACACCCCCTACCCACCAGGCACCCGCCACACACAGTACCCCATGCACACAACATCACACAGTGCCACACACACACACACACACTACACCCCCACCTTGCAGCGCCCCTGCTTTGACTGCCAGGGCGGCTGTTATGTGGCACGTCCGAGCAGTGGCAGGGCAGCCGGCCCGGGCGCGTCCACCCTGGGCAGAGGGGAGCCCTGAAAGCCAGACGAAAAGAGCGAGGCGGCTTCCCACTCTCCTTCCTCCCCTGGCCTGGCTCTTTCCCGGAAGGAGGCCAGTGGGGCTGGAGCAGGGAGGTGGGTTGCACAAGGCAGGACGCCCAGTGGGTCACAAGAGCCCGTTGTGCAACTGACCCAGTCCCGGGGAGGAATATTTCCAACCCCCTGGGCCGAGCCGGGCCGGGGTGTGTGTGTGGAGCAGCACGCTCGGCCTGTCCGCCCCCGCCCGCGCGAGCCAGGCCGGCAGATGTGAGCACTAGGAATATAGGTCAGTAAACATTGAATATTTATCAGCCCCGGCAGTCAAAACAGGTCCGCTGCTGGCATATTGCACAACGCCGCTGCTTAGGCCCGGGCACGTCGCCAGCAACCTACTAGCCTAGAAAGCAGTTCTGTGCGAAAGTCAGAGGAACAATGGGGCTATGGGGCGGGGAGGAAGTGGGGGGATTGGAAGCAGCAAAGGGGCCTGGGTGGCTTAGCTCCATGCTGCTGGGTCCGATGCCGCCCGGAGAGATGATCTAAGCAGGAGCTGAGCCAGGAGGGGAGAAAAACGGGAGGTGGAAGCTGTGGACGGCAGATTCAGGAGATGCAGCCTCCGTCCTCAGGTGTGCTGAGAGATCTGGGGCAAGGCCCAAGATCACCAAAGGGGTTTAGGTACCTTTGGGACCAATGGGAGTTAGGTATCTCATGCCCTTGGAAGACCGGGGCCAGATTTTTAAGAACTTATTTAGGGCCCAGTTTGCAAAAGCGTCTGCCCCTCACCAAGCCACCAGGTTCCACCATCCAGCCTGCTGCCCCTTAAATCGCTCTGGGCCTCAGTTTCCCCATCTGTAAACGGGGGGATAATCCTCCCTCCTTTACTTGTCATTTATTTGGTGTATTACGGTAGCACCTAGGTGCCCCAGTCATGCAGCAGGGCCCCACTGCGCTAGGTGCTGCACAAAGAGCATCAGAGAGAGTCCCTGCCACACGGAGTTTACAATATACGTTGTAGACACAGGGGAGCAGAGGAAACTGAGTCAGAGAGAGCGGCAGGGACACCAGGTGACACAGCGGGTCAGTAACAAAGCTGGGAAGAGAACCCAGGTGTCCGGTGCCCTAGCCACAAGCCCCCCCTGCTAAGCCCCCATCCTGCTCCCTGCTGCACAGCGCCCCCTACTGAACTGCCTGCAGCATGGCATTCTCCACTGAGTCTCTCCCTGCACTTCCCACCACCTACTCTGTTTTCTTCTCTTTTTAGGTCAAGGCTGTAAGAGAATTTCCACCCAAACAGGGAGGATCCGCCCCAGGCACCGGCCCCGTGTCCTCATGACACATGGAGCCCTTGGTGGGCTGGTCCGGGTGCGTACTCCAGGTGAGGGCAAGTCTGGGCATCGCCTGGCTGCACCGGTATGAAGGGCACTGCTGACCTACTTCCCAGCTCTGTGTCGTCACCCTGGGCTACCGGGTTACCTAAAGGCAGAGACCAGCCCCCTCCGGCAAAGTCGGCTCCCAGGGAGTCTGTCTGGGCTACTTTGGTCAGTCAGTCTGTCTGTCCATTCACCCTTCTTTCCCCATACACCCCATCATCATCCATCTGTCCCTCCTATCCCTCCCTCCCCATACACATCCTCCATCCATCCATCTATCCCCATACACATTCATCCATCCATCCCTAGCACAACGGGGTCCGGGGTGCTACCGTAATACACCTAATACATAATGCGCAGCACCCAGCACATGAAGTGCTCATTCACTATATTACACCTAATAAACAGCAGTCTACCAAAAGGTAAACAAAAACTAAGGTCCTCTTATGTCACATGACTCCAGGAGCTGGTGTGTTAGAAAAACACACACCATATTTTGGGTGAGCTGGTGACAGATCCGCCTGTCTCCCTACCCCCTTACGTTCCTTCTCGGTGCCTATACGTGCCCCCAGGTACCTCTCAGGAGGTAGCTGCGTGCAGTCCGCCCACCCACTGCTGCGTTCTGCTCAGGCTCGGCCCTCGCGGCTCTGCCCTACTAACCCATGAAACCAGAGCTAAGGAACCAACTCAGCATCTGCCTTGGCCAACCGGGGCGTTCCCATGGCAGCCAGCGTGGGCCGGGGGTTACATCACCCGAGCTGCAGAAGGTGAGGGAGTGGGTCAGGAATGGGGCGGATCTCCGCTTGCCAAGGCCCCAGCTGGGTTTGAGAAGGAACTATCCCCAGCTCGGGTGTGACTCTGGAGTGACTCTCCCAAGGTCAATGGGGGCAAGCCACAGGAGAATCGGATCCCAGGCGATGGGAGAAGTGTGTTGTCACAGCAACTGCCCTCCCAGGATCACACCAGTCTTCTCCAGAGCTAGGAGCCTATGCTGCCACAGCCTGAGCAACACCCAATGCCTCCTACAGGGACCCTGCCGTGTGGCGGTGTGTGTGAGAGAGATTGCAGAGGTGTTAGGGGGTGTCAAACCCACACACAGAATCCCCCGTGCACCCCTCCACGGCCTGCTGCTAACAAAGGAGGGGCTTTTTAGTACAAGGGGACAGATCCTCAGCTGGTATAATGCAACGTAGAGACACAGGAGTCCTGGTTCCCAAAGCCACCTGTACTCTAACCACTAGACCCCACTCCCTTCCCAGAGCTGGGAACAGAACCCAGACATCCTGGCTCCCAGCCCCCCTACTCTAACCACTAGACCCCACTCCCTTCCCAGAGCTGGGAACAAACCCAGACATCCTGGCTCCCAGCCCCCCTACTCTAACCACTAGACCCCACTCCCCTCCCCGAGCTGGGAACAAACCCAGACATCCTGGCTCCCAGCCCCCCTACTCTAACCACTAGACCCCACTCCCTCCCCGAGCTGGGAACAAACCCAGACGTCCTGGCTCCCAGCCCCCCTACTCTAACCACTAGACCCCACTCCCTCCCCGAGCTGGGAACAAACCCAGACGTCCTGGCTCCCAGCCCCCCTACTCTAACCACTAGACCCCACTCCCCTCCCGAGCTGGGAACAGAACCCAAGTGTCCTGGCCCCCAGCTCTAACCACTAGACCCCACTCCCCTCCCAAGCTGGGAACAGAACCCAGGTGTCCTGGCCCCCAGCTCTAACCACTAGACCCCACTCCCCTCCCTGAGCTAGGGATAGAATAGTGGAGTCTGGATTCCCAGCCGCACACCACCCTCTTGACTCAGGGAAGCCCTGGGCATCCCAGCTTGGCCAGGATCCTTCTCCACAGTCCATGTGTCCCCCCCCGAGGGACCGTACACCCCCCAAACTCTGGGGCCCCTGGGTGAGTCCCTTGAGGAGACAAGGCTGTGGCTGGATCCATCCTGCCCCCGGGGAGTCAGTCCTGCCTGCCAGCCCATGGCTGGGCCCAGGGCTCGCAGCACCGGCCCCCAGGAGCACAGCCCCTTCCCCCAGGCTTCCAGCGCCTCCCGATGTAACTTTATAGAACGCCCCGCTCGCTTGCCACGCAGGGATGTTCTGTCCCTGGCAGGGCTGGAGTGGCACCATCGCTCCCCATGGCACCATCCCCCTGGTTGGTGAGGCCTCTGGGCCAGCCCTGGCTCCTCGCCCCTCGCCAGGACCTGGACCCAGCCAAGCAACGGGCCCATACAGCCTATATTTGCCTGACCCCTCCCTGTGCCTGGGATCAGGATCAGGCCCATGGGCCCATCTAGCCCTGTATGCCCCCCACCCTAATCCACCAGGCCCCACTCCTCCCACAGCCAGGGAGAGAACCCAGGAGTCCCAGGCCCCAGCTTGAACCACCAGTCTCACTGCCCTCCCAGAGCCAGCAGCCCTAGGCCACCTTCCCAGCCATGAAACGCTCTGAACCCTTTGATCCCAGCCCTGGCCCCGCCCGCCCTGTGCCGTTATCAGCCCCACACCCAGCCTGTCCCCTGCTCTGGGAACAGCACAGAGCGCGAGCCACACGTCCCAGCCGGCCAGGATCCCGCCACCCCCCCAGCGCTGAGCTACCCTCACTCCATGGGGATGGGGGTGGGGCAGTCATCCCATGAGACAATGGGGAGGGGAAGCTTTCAGTGCTAGCTGCATGGGAGCCAGGACTCCTGGGTTCTGTTCCCAGCTCGGGGAGGGGAATGGGGACAAGTGGTTAGAGCCGGGGGCTGGGAGTTAGGACTCCAGGGTTTTGTTCCAGCTTGGGGGGGCAGGAGTGGGGTCTACTGCTTAAAGCAGGAGAGAACAAGGGGGTCAGGACTCCTGGCTTCTGTTCCCAGCTCCAGGAGGGCAGTAGGGTCAAGTGGTTAGAGTGGGGTGGGCATTGGTTGCTTAAAGGCCTCAGGAAGAGGATATCCAATTTACCTGCCCCTTCATCTGCCCAGATACCACGGTGATAGGCTCTCCCTAGCATCACAGGAAGATCGGACTCAAGTCAACCCCAGCCCTGGCCTTTGAGCCGAGCTGATCCTGTGGTGGGGAGTTCCACTGGTCAATCTTCCCCTAACCAGCTACCCGGAGACTCTTCCCAACCCCATCTCCCGCTCAGCAGCATTTGGTGCTCAGAGACAACCCCCGAGATAAAGCTGGGATCCCTGCATGGCCCATGGGACCTGTGGCTATAAATCTGAGGCCCCCATGGGTGTGTAGACCGTGCCCCACCCCCCATACAGCCTGGGGCTCGCCCGTCACCTTGGTGGAGTATGAGCCCAGCTAGCTAATGTAACGTCATCGCACACTAGCCAGGATCGGGGCCCCTCATCCAGAGACTGCCCCAAAGGGCTCAGCCCAGCCAGGTGGGGAGAGTCGAGGTGGGTCGCTGCCCCACTGCTCTTTGGTTTGACTCTGTGAGGGGAGAGGAGGAAAGAGCAGGACTGGGGGGCAGATTTGAGCTATCTCAGGCTGGTACCAGATGGGCACACGCCCCCCCCATTTCCCTCTGCTGCTGCATCAGACCCTATCCCTATGCCCACCCCCAACACAACAGTGCCTCCAGCTCCATCTGCCCCACAGACCTGGCCCTCACAACCTCATCCACCCCTGCTAGCTGGGATCGGAGCAGGGAGGGAAAACCACCATGTAAATCTGGGGAGAGAGGTGTAATATGGAGAGTGTGTGTGTAGGGAGGGGGGTGTCTGTGTGTGTGTGTGTAGATGGGGGTGTGAGGGTGTGGGTGTACTGGGGATATCTGTGTAGATGGGGGTGTGAGGATACTGGGGGGATGTCTGTGTGTACATAGACAGTGCGTGTGTGTGCGTGTACTGGAGGATGTGGGTGTGTGTGTGTGTAGATGGGGGTGTGAGGATACTGGGGAATGTCTGTGTGTACATAGACAATGGGTGTGGGGGGGTGTCTGTATGTGTGTGTAGATGGAGGTGTGAGGAAGTGGGTGTACTGGAGGATGTCTCGTGTGTGTGTGTGTGTGTGTGTGTGTAGAAGGGGGGGTTCTGCGTACACAGAAAGTGTGTGTGTGTTCACGCACACATGCACATTATTTACAAACTTCACTCCACACTTTCCAGGCAGCGTTCCCCTGGTTTGAGATGCCGGGACCCCAACTTTGCTGCTTCACAATACACCCCTGCACCCCAAATTTATGGGTGTCCTCCAAAGGGCCAAATTCACCCTCAGCAGAGAGTGCCAAAACCTTCTCCCTCCCTCCCTCACACACACACACACCCACCCCACCCTGGCTCCTTTTGGCTTGGCTGTGCCTGCTACACACACCCTGCAAAAGTAGGTCAGGATTGAGGGGAGTGACTGGGAATGAACAGGCAGAGTGTGTGTGTGTGTGTGTGTGTGTGTGTTGTCAGGGCTTTGATCCAGCAGGGCCGATTCCCTGATACAGAAGAGTTCGGGGAGCGTTGTGGGAAGGATACTCCAGGGAACACACATATACACCACAAACAGATGCGCACACACACACATAATTACATGCACACAGAACACAGAGAACATGTGCACACAGTGTATCCAGACACAACACACAATAGATACACACACAACAGAGCACCAGTGAATCATACCTACAAGCACACATGAAACACACTCGAGATATATACAATGCACGTATACTGCTTTACATACATGCAACATATATACATGACAAGAAATACAACAGGAATACACACAGCCACAACACAGTTACATAACCACACAAGACAAACATATACACAGAACATGATATGTATACACTACATACACACCATATACACACACCACATAACACATACACAATGCACCCCCAAATATACACAACACATCATACATACACCCACAACACAAACCACAATACGTACACACCTTCAACCACATAAAACACATCACATACACACACACACACACTACACAGACAACATGCTTATGCACAGAACACACAACACAGGACATACACAATATACAGACAACCTGCAACACACACAGCAGAATACATACATCATACCCACCCCCTAAAAACATACAAAACGCATCATACAAACACAACATGCTTAGACTGACAACACATTACACAGACAACATGCAATACACACAAAATACAATACATAACACGGAAAACACAACACAACACCCCCCCCCAACCATACGAAACACATCATACAATCACAACAAGCTTAAACACACACACACGACACTCCCCCCACACACGAGGCAATACAATACACACTGCACACAGAAGAAACACAATGCACACCCGAAATACACAAAACATAACACCCTTAGCCACACAACACTCTTAGCCACCCAACACACTTCTCACACACACACACACACACACACGACACCCCGGCAAACACACGCGCCCCCCTCCATGCGCGCGCGCGCACGCGGTACCCGACACCCCCGGCCCCCCGCCGCGGGCAGGGCTCGGTACCTCTCGGGCCGGGCCGGGCCGAGCCGGGCCGGGCGGGCCGGTCCCTGCGGGCGGTGGCGGCCGGTCCCTGCAGCCGGCGCACGGAATGTGTGTTACTGGGTCACCCGGTTGCATAACAGCCGCTTGGCGCCTCAGTCACGTTCTGCTTCGCAACACACAAAACGGGGGGGGCCGGGAGCCAACGAGCGGGGGGGGGGCGGGGCGGGGATATTTAATCCACCCAGAAGGCGAAACCACCAGCAGCGATCGGAGCCCAGCCCAGAGGCTGGGCAGCGGGGATGGGCGCGCCCCGCCCCCCACCGGGGGCAGGGCTGGCTGCTGGGGAGGTGGGGTCTGCCCGGCTCCGCCCATGGCAGGGATGGGAGGGGCGTGAGGGGGGTGGCCTGTCGGGATCCCCCCCACAGAGGAGATGGGCTAGGGGTGGGGTTTGTCTAAATGCTCCCCCGGGCAGGGAGGGGGGAGGTGCCTGGACACACCCCCTGCAGAAGAGGTGGGCTGGGGTGGGGTTTGTCTAAATGCTCCCCTGGCTGGAATGGGGGGAGGTGCCTGGACACCCCCCCGCCCCAGGAGATGGGCTAGGGGTGGGGTTTGTCTAAATGCTCCCCCTGGCACAGTGGGGGGAGGTACCTGGACACCCCCACCCCCCACAAAAGAGATGGGCTAGGGGTGGGGTTTGTCTAAATGCTCCCCCTGGCAGGGATGGGGGGACGTGCCTGGACACCCCCCCCCGAGGAGATGGGCTAGGGGTGGGGTTTGTCTAAATGTTCCCCCTGGCACAGTGGGGGGAGGTGCCTGGACACACCCCCCCCAGAAGAGATGGGCTGGGGTGGGGTTTGTCTAAATGCTCCCCCTGGCAGGGATGGGGGGGAGATGCCTGGACACACCGCCCCCACAGAAGAGATGGGGGGTTCCTGTCGGATCCAGTTCCCCTTTCCCTGATCTTTCTTCTTCTGCCTCTTGCTAGCTCACCGCTGACCCCCACCCCAGGCATAAATGGGGACTGACTGTTGAAGTCGGACCAGTAGGAGCCAGGAGGGGGTCCTCTGGTCTGCCCTCCCCACACCCCGCTTCTGTCTCTGCCACTTCCCTGCCTCCTCCACCCACCAGGATTTGACTTGGGATGGCGCCATCGTTACCTGGCGCTGGCTTGGGGATGCATTAGACCTGGGTTGAGGGATGAGGAGCGGAGAAAAGATCTGCTCGCATCCAAGCCCAGGCCAGGGGGTGCTCTGGGCCCATGGAATCAGGCCCCCCAGTCCAGGCCTTAAACTGACCCTAGATGAAACACTCCATCCCAGAGGTGGCTGCACTTCAGCACCGGGCAAGGGACCCCTATATAAACAGTCCCATTTAAGCTGGGGAAAATCTATCCCAAAGGGGGTTACAAGTGCTGGAAAGGAGGCAGAGGGCCAGAGCCCTTTCTCAAGCTTTTAGGCTCCACAGATCCCAAAGCACTTTACAAAGGAGGAGTGGCGGTGGGGGAATTTCCCATAGTGTTGCTACGAAGTGACTGACTTGCCCTGGGACCATTCCCTGGGGGCTGCAGAAGGGTCACATCTGCTCCTGGAACAAAGCAAGAGCCCGGAGCTCATCAGGATCCTGCCAGAGGAGGACGAGGGACTGAGAGGTGACAGGAGGCAAGACAAGAGCTGGGTTTTTGCCACATGCCGGGATGGACAAGGACAGTGCGAGCCAGAGCCAAGGTGGTTTCCACAGCAGCATGGCCGGGTGGAGGCCTGGTTTGAGCCCAGCTGGACTTTGTCTTGTGCTAACTTAAGGACTTTCCGCTGCCATGTTCCAGCTGACTAATAAATCCGTTCTTATGTTCTTAAGATTTGTTCAGACTTGTACGTTCTTCCAGCCCGTCGCGGTGACCATGTCCCTGGCTCTCTGTGCAGCCCTCCGCTGGCTCCCCCTTCTCTCGCACCACCAACAGAAGCAGCTGTTGCTATCGCACGTTGCCGTCTCAGATGGAAACATCAGCACGTGGAGGAAAAGGAAGCCAAACTTAACAGCCACATCTGTGCCCCAAGCCAATTGCAAGGAACAAAACGGGTCTCCCCCTCTCCAACCACCACCTACAACTCCAAATATACCAAGCAGCTCTGCGCACCACGGTGACAACGACCCTGCCACTGCGTCCTGTGATGGAGATGTCGTTTGCAATGGTGCTGTTGGTCCCAGGATATTAGAGACCGCATGGTCTGTGGGGTAATATCCTGGATTGGGCCAACATCTGTGGGTGAAAGAGACAAGCTCGAAAGCCTGTATTTTCCACCTACAGAAGTTAGTCCAAGATATTTCCTCCCCCAACTTGTTTCTGCAACAGGTATGCCAATTTCACGCAATATTCTTCAAAGACCTTCCTGTATTGAATGTATGGATTCTTGTAGGCCGGGATCGTATAAAGAGATGTGAGACCTGGAAGCTCAGAAGACTGTCTTGAAAATGTGCCAGACAAGCATGGCGTTTTTGGACCAAGAAGCGAATTTCCTAGGGAATCTCTCCAGGGAGGTGAATGCAAATTCCCCAAATCCAGTTATGCAAAACCCCAGCCTTTGGAAGCTATGCTCTGGAGAGAGGGATCTTTGTCTGGTGATCACTTCTATAGAAGGCCAAGATAAAAGGCCTGAGACATATTATGAAATGGTGGCTATATGAACTTGTAACCCTGGGGAAAACCCAGTTGTGGGATTTTAAGGACTGAAATCTACCAGAGCCCTAGACTGGAGATGGGGGTGAGCTCCGGTAAGCTACTTAGCATGCATGTAGGTTTTTCGATTGTTTTAACGTTAGCAAATGGACTTGCTTAGAAGCAGCTGTGTGGTAATTTATAACTAAGCTGGGAAGGACTAGATTTCGATCGGTAAGTGTCGAGAAACATCGATTTTGCAGTACACGCAAATGGATGAAAAGTTATTTCCACTGATAATCATCGACATTTATAGACAGACAAAGGAAGCAAAACGCTGCTCGAGAACGTATTCGAGCTGGCTTTCAGGCTAAAAGTTTGACAGATGATTTGATTTGACATATGAGCTGTGGTTTGAGTGGTTATAAAGTTTTAACTTTCTGCCTCTTCGGTGGCTGCTGTAATTAAATCATTATTGTCAGGCTCCCCCATCCCATGGTCTGATGCCCTCACAATTTCCCACAACCGTGAACATTTACAGAGATACAAAGAGACAAAAAGGCTTAAAAATAAACATAGATTTTATCCATTGAAATTATACAAAAATAAACCTAGAATTCTGTCGAGCCTGCTTACAAGGGCAGGGAACACACTGGCCACAGTCACTGGAAAGAAAGCAAAGCATACGCTGTTGTTTATGTAGGGCCTACAGGAAGTGCTACTCCCCAGGTACAGGCTCAGCTCTGACAGGCATGGGATGGGGTGGCTGGGCCATATATAAGGATATCCAGAGGGCCAGGTGGGGGTGAAGCCGGGGTTACACTCTGGCTTGCTGGGGGTATTAGAGTGTAATGCAGGGAGCGGGGCAGCCTCAAAACCCTGGTCAGGAGGGAGTGAGACGCGGGTCTGTGACGGCCGGATGTGGGTGCCCTCGGTAGACTGCAGAGTGGGAACACGGGTGCAGCTACCCTGAATCTGGGACATGTGTTATCACAGCCCTTTCTGGCTTCCCCCGCCCAATCATCTCTCACTGGCTATCGACATCTCCACTCCAGTTTCTGACGGCGGCCTCCAGTGCCCACCTGGTACATTTCAAACCAGCCCCTTGGCGCTTCCTCCCAGAGCCAATGGGGTAGAAAATGAGAGGGGGGGTGAGGGGGTGTCAAACAGACAGACCCTTTTAGATTCCACAACAAACACTTTGTCCAAACCTTGGGAACAGCCCTGGGCTTGAGGATGGCTCCCCAATAAGCCAACATCTTCAAGGGCCACCTTGAGGAAGAATTGCTGGACAAATGCACCATGAAACCCATGATACACAGTGAGGATATTTTCCTCCTCTGGAGAGACAACCTCAACTTCCTCACAGATTTCCACCAACTTCCACCACCACTGCCCCATCCATCAAACTCTCTCTGGAACACACCCTCACCAGCATCAGCTTCCTGGACACCACCATCAGCTCCAACAACTATCTGCAAGAAACCCACGGCTCATCACCACTCCTACCTCCGCAGATCCAGTAACCACCGCAGGCACACCCAGAAATCTCCTACCTACCGCCTGGCCCTCAGGTACCACAGAACATACTCCGAGGAGAAAGTCCTTGACGCATGTAAAACCACCTTCACCAAACAGGGACACTCCACCAGAGAAGTAGATCACATCATGGAACGGGCCACCCAAATACCCCGAGAGAACCTGCTTTAATATGGAAATAAAACCCCCTCTGCCCACTCGCCCCTAGTTGTCACTGACTACCCCACACTGGTACCCAAACGGAGTGTCATTCAGCAATTACAACCCAGATTTGATGGGGACTACATCCTGAAAGAAAGCTTTCCTGAACCCCCTCTTCTGGCCTTCAAATAACCCTCCAATCTTGCCAAATTTATCCTCATAAGCCAGCTCCCCACAGAGCAGGACCCACCAACTCAAAGCAACGTCAGACCCTGCCAGAACAACAGATGCAAAACCTGCAGACATATCTCGACACAACACACCTTTCAAGACCCGTGGGACCAGCACATGCCTATGGCAATGTGCGCTGGCCTTCAGCCAGTGCCCCAAGAGCAGCCATGTGGGTGAAACCAGACAATCGTGGCACCCTTGAACGGACTCGCACAGGACAAGGACAAAAGACAAAACCACCCTGTCACCTGCGGGTGGGCACTTTTCACAAAGTGGTCACTCCATATCTGACCTCTCCATCCTCATCCTCAAAGGAAACCCGCGCAACCCCTTCACAAGCCAAGCCGGGGAGCTTAAATGGATAACTTTACTAAAACGCTAAAAATCGTGGGCTTAATAAAGACACTGGATTTAGGGCGATTCCAACCATCTGTAGCCCACTAACCCCCCTTTTCTGGCCTACGGCTGCAGGAGTGTTAAGAAGCCACTTCCCCTTGAAGGGTCCCTTAGAAAACATGCAACCTCCTTATGCTAAACAATCCGTCCCCCGTTGCATTTGGCTGTGATGCTCAGAGCACCCTTCCCAGGCCTGGAGAAGAAGCTCGAA